AATCATGCAAATTTATAGGCCCGATTGTTCGTGCAGGAGAAACTAAAATTAACTTCACCGAGAACTGACAGCTGCGAAGATGACGTCTTTTCTTTGGCGAAATTATGTAAAATATTAATCTTTAATATGTACTGTTTGTTACATGTTTTCTTATGAAAATTGTTTTTTCATACTTGTAAAATTATTATAAACATGTTTTTTTATACTTATAAAATTCTTATAAAATTTCTGACAGCTAATCGAACACGATTGTTCTCATATATATTAACTCTCTTTGGCAAAATTATTAAATATTAATCTTTAATATTTACTATTTTTTTTTGTTATAAAAATATATACAGGTACTTGGAAAATATTTTTTTATACCTATACAAAATTCTTATAAAAATATATAGTCCCTCGCGCATAAAAATGATTGTAATTTCTGGGAGCTAATCGAACCTCTGTGGAGTGTCGGGTCGAAAACGTTTGAAGGGGGATGAGGGAGAATATATACGAGCCACGGAAGGATAGGGGGAGGGAAAGAGGTGGTGACCGCTTCTTATTTCGTGGGGCACCCTGCTGCGCCCGGGTGGAGGTGAACCCTCTTTAGCGTCTCTCGCGGAGGCGAACCCTGTACGGCAGCCTTCGGATGCCGTTATCAATTTGCGTGATTCTCAGGATTTATAATGAAGACGCAATATATACGCGTTCGTTCATCGTTTCGTCATCGTGCCTCGCTTCGATCGGCCAAATCGAGCTGGTGTTTCACGATGGTAATTATCGCCCTGAACCACCCAGGCAGTTTTCGCCAACAGAGTGACAACAGCAACCCTGATTTCGTACGTCACTATGAATTTGCATTTAACTGCGCGCACGCGCGTTCTGGGATTACAATGGAACAGAAGAGATTTCTTGTTGAACGAGTATGAAAAATTTTCGTTTTTTCATGCAAAAAAGGGTGCACAGTATAGACAAAAATTATTGCAGATTTTTTGAAATAATTTTATTATACTTCTTTATTAGTAGGTATATTAATATACGGAGTATCTCCACTTTAATTGCCTCAGGTAAATATATCGAAAAAATAAAGGAAGACCGGGAAAACATTTCAAAGAAAAATTATAGGATTTCTACGGGGACGTCTTGTCATAAATAGTCATATTTCAGACAGAAGTAATGATCTCGAAATCTCAAAATCTCTACCTGGAATAAAATTATATTCGTGTCAAGACGTTTCCCTTGAAATTTTACATTTTTTATCTGAAATATTTTTCCGTATTTTTTCCTTTTATATTGTTTGACATATTTATTATGGGCAATTAAAAAACAATACATCTCTTGTATATATTATTATATATCTACGATAGTATATATAATTAATAATATTATAATATTTTATATATGTATTATTAATAATATATCTAGATATAAATTAATAATTAAATGGTATATTAATATAATTATAAAAAAATGAACGAGATGTCAAACTTGTTCATCTTGCAATGAAATTTTCTTAAGGAAACTTTAAACAGGAAAGATGTATGTAAAAGAAAAGAATTACGAAATACACAATTTTTTACAAAAAGAAATTTAACTTGACTAAACCTTTCAAAATATTATTTTGTTATAGTTGAACATATAAAAATATTCAAATCAAATCTAACAAAACAGATATTTGACTTAAATACTAATATATGTTCAATTGACAAAAGAGTAATTTAGTTGAAAGGTTTAATCAAATTAACAAATTTTTTTCAGTGTATCTAATTGTATCTAGTTTCTTATATATATTTTATATTATATTATATAAAAAGTATAAAAAACTCGATAAAAGATTGCAATTAAAAATTAATTAGTCTCAAATACAAATATGTAAATTATATATGAATGAGAAAAATAATTCAGTTTGAATCAAAACACGTAGATTGATGATGAAGTAAAATTATTTCGAAAATATATACTATAATATACATCTAATTGTTTAAGAGTCGTTGTATAAAAAATATACTTTAAAAATTAACTTTACTAAATCTTTCAAATATGATTTTGTTAATTGAACATATAAAAAAATATTTAAATTAAATCTAACAAAACATATATATTCGACTTAAATACTAATATATGTTCAATTAACAAAATAATTCAATTGAAAGGTTTAGTTAAGTTAACAAATTTTTTTTTCAGTATAAATACATATAAAAGACACACAGATTTTGGTTTAAACACAGAAATTCCCCATAAGATTGTACGGTAACAAGATGAGAGACCGATCTGCCAGTCCGATCGGAAACTCTTGAAGCGCATAATGCATTTATTGGATGTCATTCCCAATAATTATCACAACCACAGAGAAATAGCGGGACCTCTTAAGCTCCCGAGAGGGAACGATAGGCAGAAAAAATAACGTCGAAACGTCAGAGAACGTCGCTCACACTCTCTCTTTCTCTCCATTCCGGAGATTACTAAACGCCGGGGTTTGCGTCGGGTGGCATTGTGTTACACGCGACCTAAGACAAGGTGTTTCGTTTCTCACCCGGGCTGACAAAAGGCAACATTGGTACAACAAAGAAGCCCGCGTCAACCGTTGAGGGGTGGCAAAAAGGGGGAGACTCTTTGGGACCCATCGCGCACCCTCTTTTTCTTTTTCCAATTCCCGCATCTTTCGTCGAGAGTCTCGCTTCCGCGCGGCTTCGCGTAAAAACCTTTTCTCTCTCCCCGAGATGTCACTTATTAATTCTCTCATTCTCTCGGAGGCAGTAAAATGAATAGCGGGAGCCCGCCCCCTTTGAATCCGCTCCGCGGTTAAAGGAATTTCTTCTCTTCGGCGAAGGAAGAAAGGACAGATGAGAAGAGAGACAGGAACGGGACGTATCCCGCGGGACAGGCGGTGGAAAGGTCAAAGGATCTCTCGGCTACCTGAGGGAGTCCTCAGGTAGGTAGGTGGATATAGGAGAGAGAGCCGATCGTCTCCACTCTGGTCATCTCTTGGCTCTTTTCACAGATCGCGGATACGATTAATAACAGTCTCTTTTTTTTTTTTCTCTCTTTTTTTCGACGAAGGGGTAGAAGCGCGCGACGGAGATAATGTGAGGGAGCTGTTGTTTGAGGAAAACCACAAATTTTTCGGGCATCCGAGGCGGCACGACTGAAATATGGTAGCTCTATATGGGAGCGCCGACCGCGTGCTCCAGGACCCCCTGGTGATCGCTCTTGAGAAATTCTGGAAAGAGGCGGGGCGCCATCGAGACTGCGCGCCCGATCTGTCTATTTTGCCCGACATCGGAAACGAAAGGCGCTTCGTCCATAAATTTTCGGTAGAAAAGAATTCGCGTGTGGATTGATTGCAAGTGCGATGAAAATAGGATGAGGAGGCCGATGAATGAACGATTTAGGGATTTTAGGAATAATATATTTCTATTTTGAGAAGCACAGAGGATGATGTTGATTCTAACTTGACAGTAATCAGCTGATTGGGTTTCGTATTATTTATTTGAAGTATAAAAGATAATTGTTATATCCTCGATAATTTATTTAACTTTATTTTATATAAGCATTAAAGATTGAAATAAATCTGTAAAATTTTGCATGATAAATTAATAATAAAATTGTCAGAATTGTAATAATAATAGATTTTTATTTTGAGAGGCACGAGTTTAAATTTGACAGTAATCAGCTGATTGAGTTTCGTATTATTTATTTGAAGTATAAAAGACCATTGTTATATCCTCGATGATTAATTTAACTTCATTTTATATAAGCATTAAAGATTGAAATAAATCTGTAAAATTTTGCACGATAAATTAATAATAAAATTGTCAGAATTGTAATAATAATAGATTTTTATTTTGAGAGGCACGAGTTTAAATTTGACAGTAATCAGCTGATTGGGTTTCGTATTATTTATTTAAAGTATAAAAGACCATTTTTTTATATCCTCGATAATTAATTTAACTTTATTTTATATTAAAAATTGAAATAAATCTGTAAAATTTTGCATGATAAATTAATAATAAAATTGTCAAAATTGTAATAATAATAGATTTTTATTTTGAGAGGCACGAGTTTAAATTTGACAGTAATCAGCTGATTGGGTTTCGTATTATTTATTTGAAGTATAAAAGACAATTGTTATATCCTCGATAATTAATTTAACTTTATTTTATATAAGCATTAAAGATTGAAATAAATCTGTAAAATTTTGCATGGTAAATTAATAATAAAATTGTCAGAATTGTGATAATAATAGATTTTTATTTTGAGAGGCACGAGTTTAAATTTGACAGTAATCAGCTGATTGAGTTTCGTATTATTTATTTGAAGTATAAAAGATAATTGTTATATCCTCGATAATTAATTTAACTTTATTTTATATTAAAAATTGAAATAAATCTGTAAAATTTTGCATGATAAATTAATAATAAAATTGTCAAAATTGTAATAATAATAGATTTTTATTTTGAGAGGCACGAGTTTAAATTTAACAGTAATCAGCTGATTGGGTTTTGTACTATTTATTTGCAGTATAAAAGGAAATTTTTTTATATCTTAAATAATTAATGTAACTTGTTTAATTTAAAATATCAAAGATCGAAATAAATCTGTATATAATTTTGTATGATAAATTGGTAACGATAAAGTAGTTAAAATGATAAATAGATTTTTGAGAAACACGCAGAGAGTTATATTCTAACTTGACAGTAATCAGCTGATTATGCTTGGTACTATTTATTTAAAGTATAAAAGAAAATTTTTATATATTTAATAATTAATTTAACGTAATTAATTTAAGGTATCAAAGATTGAAATAATTCTATAAAATTTTGCATGCTAAATTAATAAGAATAAATAATAATAAATAATAATATAAATTAATAATAAAATTGTCAAAATAGTAATAATAACAGATTTTTATTTTGAGAAACACGAATTTAAATTTAAACTTTAATTTTAAACTTGACACCTTGACAGTAATCAGCTGATTGGATAGAATAGCGAATAACTTCACTCATTACGGAAACGCCGCGAGTACCAGGTAGTCGAGCTGCATCCCGCTGTGATTAATTAGTAAGCACAATCGTTTCTAACCTTTGTATCGTAATATTTATCAATCACATATCATAATTTCAACGTTCATACTTGGTCGTAATTGCTGGAAACGCATATTTTGCGAAAAATTCGATGCAAAATCTCTGTCAACGGCATCAACATAACCTAACCTAACCTAATCTGTTCTCGCGCGCACGAATCTGTTGCAATCCGGATTTATCTATCATTAATCCCACCTTATATATTTATATTATGTATGTTACAGTGTGAAATAATAAGATTATTCTAATATATATATATGTGTATTTTATTTGTTACAGGTAGCATCGCGATACGCAGCGCGATTCACGCGTCGTGTCGGGAGTGCCGTGTAAAGTTTTATACGTCGGGAGTGCCGTGTAAAGTGATCGGGCGACCGTAATTATTCGTGTTTTCGCGAGTGTCGTGAGTGCAACGATGATCAAAGGAGGAGGAGGTCCTGCGAGGCATCGGGCGACAGCGGGGCAACTGTAAGGTATGCAAAAGAAATGAAAATATTTTTTCCAATCTGCATTCTTCATGAGATGTCCCATAGTTTCTAGACTTTTAAACACCTTGTGTATATATATAATTTGAGTATTTTGTTTTCAGATTATGCTGTGCACTACTACAACTCCGCTATTGCATCTGTGTCGGTGAGTGAGAAATTGTTTGGTTTATAACATTTTTGTAACGGTAATAGAGGGCTGTGTGAAGCTTTTCATTTCGTGGAAACTCAAATATTTATGTACATATATTAATTTAAGAATTCTAGTTTATTTAATAATTAATAAAATTAATAATTGAAATTAACAATTAAGAATTCTGCGACTTTATTTTAAGATAAATTATTAAGAATTCTAGCTTTATTTTTAATAATTCTAAAGATTTTTCAAGTTTAAACAAAGAGTTTATAAAGCAAAAAAAATATCTAAGAACACATTTTTCTCATTTAGTAATTATCATTATTTATTAAGATTAATTATTAAGATTTATTAAGATTAAAAAAATTTATTAATCTCCCACGAAATAACATGTTAGCTTCACACATGCATAAATTAATGATAAAATTATCAAAATGGTCAATGATTGAATTTTTTTCTCTGATAAATTGACAAATGACAGCTTCGGAAATGCATCGCAATTAAAAATAATTCGTATATCTATAAATATTATTTAATTAAAGTTTTGAAAATCTGTGTTTACTATTAAAGTATTTTGTTTTGAGGGCTGTGTGAAGCTTTTCATTTCGTGGAAACTCAAATATTTATGTACATATATTAATTTAAGAATTCTAGTTTATTTAATAATTGATAAAATTAATAATTGAAATTATAACAATTAAGAATTCTGCGACTTTATTTTAAGATAAATCATTAAGAATTCTAGCTTTATTTTCAATAATTCTAAAGATTTTTCAAGTTTAAACAAAGAGTTTATAAAGCAAAGAAAATATCTAAGAACACATTTTTCTCATTTAGTAATTATCAGGATTAAAAAAATGTATTAATCTCCCACGAAATAACATATTAGCTTCACACATGCATAAATTAATGATAAAATTATCAAAATGGTCAATGATTGAATTTTTTTCTCTGATAAATTGACAAATGACAGCTTCGGAAATGCATCGCAATTAAAAATAATTCGTATATCTGTAAATATTATTTAATTAAAGTGTTGAAAATCCGTGTGTTACTATTAAAGTATTTTGTTTTTGTCAAAGCAGCATAAGTACCTTGACGATTTTTAAATTATTATTTTGCATATTTTGACTGAAAAATATCTTACTGTCATCTCCGAATATCAAATAGAATTATGAATCAATTCTTTTATACGATATCATATCAAAAGTTAATCTATACAAAAAATATATGACAGTGTTTATTCATTAATATACGTAATTATTGATGTGACTATGTTGATTATTACACAAATCATTACTAATTTTTGTCATTTGCATTGCATAAAAAAAAAAAAAATGAATTGAAGCAAATTATATGAATAATTATACAGAATTATAATTTGTAACCTTGCGCTATTTATTAAATTGAGGTAAGTTATAAAATATTCCACTATTATCGTCATCGAATGTCCGACGAGAAATGCTTCCATTAATAATTGCAAATACATCGCTATATGTGCGTAAGGAAAGAAATCGAGATACACTTTTCTCAGCACGTTCGCCGACGCATCCGATTAGCAGCAGTATAATCAAGAAGCAGGTAGGTTGTGTATATCGGTGGTGGATGAGTAATTTCCAGGGTCCCTCGTGATCGTGTCCGGGAAGAGAGATGCGCATCCCGTATGAGAGGATAAAAAGAGGATTCGCGCAAGAGGGTGGGTCGAGGGTGTCGCGATTCCCCGCTGGGCGCTGATGGGGCTCTCCGGGTCCTAGGGGTCTCGGGTGCACGGATTTTGGTAATTAGCTTTTTCGTTCAGTGCCAATTATACGCGGCGACTGATTTACATAAGCCGGCCGACGCGACGCGGACGCTTGTGCCTCGCCTCGTGTGTGGAACGAAGGCTAATGAAGGCGCAGAGTATCGCGTTATGTCCCGGGAAGAAAAACGCCACCACCTTCCTTTATTCGCATTCAGCGCAAGGAGCTTTGCGCAAGACACCGTGGCTGCGAAATATATGTTGCAGCTTCTTGCGAAACGAAACTATCCATTTTGCGTTCGTTCACTGAAATAAAATTGTATTCTCATTTTTAGAGAATTTAGTTTATAATTTATTTTTGAAATAGACAGCATGATTCTTTTATTTTAAGAGGGGAATTCTCTAAACTCTAAAGATTTTACACGAAGAGAATTTTCTCTTTGAATTTTCCCAGAAAATTATGATAATCGTGGGATAATGTGGTAGTGGAAAAATTTTATGAGTTTCTCTGATTAATATTCGCCACAATAAAAAATATTAATATGTACATGATAAATTTTACTATTGAACATATTTTTATTGTGATAAATATTAAACAGAGAAACTCTTATAAAATTCTTCTAATATCGATCATAGTATCCCATAATTACCACGATTTTTAGGGTAAATTCTAAGAGACAATTCTCTTTGTGTAGATATTAATAAAGATTATTATTCATAATTTATAAAAATGTAGAAATGTAATTTATTTTGTATTACATTTCACAGACAAAGGAAAATCATAAAGAAAGTCAAAGAATTAAATTAATGAATTCTATTAATTTTAGAGAATATTTTAGAAACATAAAATTTATTAAGAGAGATTGTGGACGTGTCTAATCAATTTCATTTTTTTTATTACATTCTGTTCTTTATCTTTGATAAATAAATGAAAATTTAAATCATCCGAAATAACATTTCAATGCATTTCGTCAACGCATTTTTTTTTTTTTTCTTCATCAATATATGAATATACTTTAATATTAACCGCGTGTTTTTGTGCCAATTATACTTTGACAATTTCTTTATATCAGCTAATGGTCGCCGAACATTTTCCCCTTATATTTTTACGAGGTTTGTACATAAAAAGACCCTTTGTATTTTGTTTCGGGCGAAGGAATGATCTTTCAGAATATTCGTTTTAATATTTCAAATGAATTATTCGTTGACGGATCAAGGATTAGCGTCATCGATCTGAAAAGAATGAAAAGAAAGATAAATGAAAATTTAAATCGTCCGAAATAACATTTCAATGCATTTCGTCAACGCATTATTTTTTCTTTCTTTCATCAATATTATGAATATACTTTAATATTAACCGCGTGTTTTTGTGCCATATTATGATCTTTGGTTGACGGATCAAGGATTAGCGTCATCGATCTAAATCGTCCGTCAATGCATTTCGTCAACGCATTATTTTTTCTTTCTTCATCTTATACTTTAATATTAAAATTATACTTTGACACTTTATATCAGCTAAAGAACATTTTCCCCTTATATTTTACGAGGTTTTTACATAAAAAGACCCTTTGTATTTTGTTTCGGGCGAAGAAAAATTTGCAATACACTTTTAATATTTCAAATGATCTTTCGGCTACCCAAATATTCGTTGACGGATCAAGGATTAGCGTCAATCGATCTGAAAAGAATGAAAAGAAAAAATAATTCGAAACAAAGCAACGCGCGCGCTTCTCCGAAACAACAACACAACACACGCGAATCTAAAATAAAGCCAGCAGACTAATGGATCGAGGTTGACCTTTGATGGATATCTTCCTGCGTCCAAGGTGACCGGTCAGGTCCCCGCAGCTGTCGATTTCGTGGGGCAAATAGTTATCGGAAAAGGAGGCTGCCACCGGAGACCCGATGGAGAGACCCCGCTGCGTAAAATTGTCTTTTGCCTTCCGCTGACCGCGGACTGACTCTTCTCGGGTCTGTCTCTCTTTCTCGAGAGAGAGAGAGAGAGAGAGACCGAACCGTGTAATTATTCGAAGGCTCGTAACTTATATCCATGTCATGCGGATAGTGAATAGCCGTGGAAGAATCGAACATATAACGGATCGCCGGCTCTTTCCTCGCTTTCGGACAGAAATTATTCAGCGGTATGATCTCTCGCGCGCGGTTACCTTTATTCCGTTCCCTTTGATACTTCCGAAAGAATGCTGAAATGTATTGACGGGGAGAAAAAAAGACAATCATTTTATAATCGTATAAAGAATATTAAGGAGATTGATTCTATTTATTAGGAGTTTTGAATATTTTATTCATATGGCGCGAGCTTTTTTATAAGTAGGTATACAATATATAGCGTCAAATTTTCTAATAATATAAGTATTCAATAATTAATTATCAATTCGAATAATAATCTAGGAAATGGAACTAAAGATGATCTGTAAGTCGCGAGACAGAATTTTATTTAATTTGTACATCATTTTATTTGTCATAATGCATTTGTGTAGCCCAATAAATATTTTGTATGTGCGTGCACATTTTTTTTATTTTTCAGATGTGTATTTTCTATATTACACATCACAAAATTATAAATAAAATTCTGTACCAAACTTTTGCGAATTATAGATCTTAATTTCCCACGTTACTTTTACTTAATTAGTAATTAATTAGCTAATATTTATTTTATTAGAAAATTTGAATTATGTTGTATTTATGAACGCTCGCGTCATACATACTGCAAAAATTTATTAACTAAACCTTTCAACTAAATATTATTTTATTAATTGAACATATAGAAATATTTAAATGAAATATAACATACTAAATCTAGCAAAACGTGTATATTTCATTTAAGTATTAATATATGCTCAGTAATTTAGTTGAAAGGTTTAGTCACGTTAACAAATTTTTTTTCAGTGCGAATAAAATATTGAATAAAATGTTAAAAATATCTTTAACATATTCTTTACGATTATAAAATATTATTTTTCTTAATATCAATGACATTTCCGCATTTTTTCGGAAGCATTATCGAAAGAGAAAAACGGATTTAAAGATAAAATGTTCAAATATAGCGTATAAAACGTAATAATGATGAATGATATATAATTCGGCGAAGCACCCGAGAAATGCAAATAAAATAAAATATCGCATCGACACGCGTCGCGATTTTCTCGGATTGTCAATGCAACGTCAACAAAGCGTTTCAGTAGCGTATATAAAAGATTTGCGGGCGTCTCCGGGCGGTCGGCTGAAACCTCGTTGGCGTCGATCTGAAGAAAAG